AGTTCTTGAGTTTCTAGCTTCTCTTTACTTGCATCACTAGTTTTCTCATGTTTTTGTTTCATTTCTAAAGACAAAGTGTGCATCTGATCTCTAGTAGAAGCAAAATTTTGGTCCACCTCCTTTGTTTTCTTCAATGTTTTTCCCTTAGGTTTTGTTTGTTGCTGTGACTCTGCATAAGAAAATATTTTGCCATTATGTTAATGTTCATTTAAATGGCAGTCACAGCACTAGTGAGGATATACCCTTATCTCATGTTCCAAAATAAGTATGTAGCATAACCAAGTGCTGGGTATGGTTTAGGGCCTATCTCCCCTCTCCTCCTTTCAGTACGAATTCTGAGACTGGGGGTATTGAATGTGTTGTTGTAGAGGCAGGCAACATCTACTGCAAAATCTATACTTGCCATTCAGCCCCTCCTCAAACACTTAACATCAATCCGGCCTTGTACTACAGAAAGAACAACACTCGCACCTCCATTATATCCTCCAACCAGTCAAGAGCAGTTGAAGAGTAGCGCTTCCTCTCTGTAGCTCACAAGCTTCTTTGCTAATTTCTACCAGCAGTTAAATAAAGACAAGAGCGACTTAAGGCGAGCACCTAGGTAACTCACTTTAATCACCAGCTGGTGTGTTATCTAGACCAGCCACTAAGCTACTGAGACAGCTCAGTGGGAGATAATAAAGCTAAGGGGCGTTTCTAGACCTTATGATTTAACTTACAACTTACATGAGGACTGAAACTAAGCAGCTAATGACACTACTGTAGGCACAGTACTGTCATTGGCAAGTGGAAAGACAGGCCGCTGGATCAACGTGTGCATGTGCTGGATCACTGGGGTTCCTGCCTCCAATCATTACTGGACGTACATGCATCAGGCCATTGTACGGTGGTGCAGTACCTGCTATACCTTGTAGTTAGATATGGATTATTAAGCGAGCCGCAGTGTGGGTTGTCTAGTAGTGTAAGCTCAAGCACATAAATTTGGTAGTTGATGACATGGAAGTTATATACACATCCCACCCATGCTTGGGTAGTCAGGATCCAAAGCGTGAATGGGGTCAACGTGCTTGTTCCTCCATGCAACCCGACCATGGGCGGGACAATAATTCAAGGAATAATACTGCAGTAACCTGCTACTTCCACCCAGCCTAGTAGTTCAGACCCGAGAATCTTGGAGAGGGGCAAGCGGCAGGCTGTTAGGCCATGCTGTTTTGCATGGACCAAGGGAGATTGCTTCTGCGAGCATTGGCACATTATGCCTTCAGTGCACAATCCCATGACTGGACGTAGGTCTCTGCATGAGGAGGAGGCAAAGTAGGAGCACTACCTCAAGCCTGCCCGTTAATGCCACAGTCGTCACTTCTTCCGTCTCAGTTCATGTAGATTTGCTAACTGTAGTAGTGTTATACTAGATAGAGCTACGTAGGTCTACCATGTGACGGAGTTGTGCGATTAAAAAATACTCTTTTGCAGGTCAGATTGAGGCAATCATGTCCAACAGGGTTTATTAACCCCCAGCAGACAGTAGGTGTATATACATAATGCAACAAGGCATTCCACAGTCACTTAATGAAAAGTACAAACCTTCGGCACACCAGAAATGCGCATGTGCTGGGCTACGCTGTTATCTCGGTCTCTCTTGTAGCTTGCTGAGATTCTGACACTAGCTAGAAGATAGTATGTGGAACTCCACACTTGCCCTCGATATCAACTTTTAGTGCCACAAAGGTACGCAAACCAAGCAGATCTGGTTAAGGTAAGCCTGTGCTCAATTAATGGCTTGTTTACTAGGTTTTCACGCCATAACTTACAAACACATTACTTCTTAGAAACAGTTTCCAAGTACATACTCCAAAATAATAATAATATGGCATGTGAAAAAAGGCCTTCGTGTTCAAAAGTGCCAGCAAATTTGGAAGTGGCCCTTACATTATTTCTCAAATCTTCCTGCATATTATATAGAAAGATTAGAGGGTGGTGCAGGAAAGTTTCCTTATACAAAAACTGAGAAGTTTCCAATTCTTCCTACACGTGTCTGCAAATTGCACAAAGCGACCCTCCTCGGCGCGCGTGCACAGTGTTTGAGAGTTATGGCGTAAAACACAAGCAAAAGCGCCATATATATGCAAATTACCACTGGCTTACTTCGACCACATTCTGCCTGTTCGAGTACAGTGGAGGCAACAGAAGTTACCACAGAGGGTGAGTGTCGATTATGCCTAAAATGCTACCTAACCAATGTAAGACTCAAAGAGTTAGCTAGAGACCCTGACACGAGTACAAGATGACAGCCCATCAATTAGCGGTACCGACTCGCTGTGCTCCTTACCTTCTCTGTCAAACGTATATATCATGCTACTTGTTGTAGCCTAAGCAGTGTGGGGAATACCAGTGTGCTGATTCTGCTACAATGGTTGCTATAATTCTCACTGTCGGCCAGTGAAAGACCCTACTCATGCATTGTCTGTTCCTATAGCACCAAATGGTTGCTATAATTCACTGTCGGTCAGCGAAAGACCCTACATCAAATGCATCTCGTGCATTGTCTGTTCCTATAGCACCAATGCACCCCACCAGGCAGAAAAATGAAGCGGCAGATTACTTTCCTCGTGATGTTCCGTAATCTTTTTTACAAACTGTCTCTCACCCAAGTGCCCCCAAGTAAGTAGTGATACCATAATATAAATGCTCTGACTAAATGCATGGCTGACCAACTCTTGCTTGCGAGAGATTCTAGCCTTTTTTTCGCAGCCTTAGTGCTCAAGTGTTACAGTAGTTAATCCTCGGCGCGCATGCGCAGCGAGGGTTATTGTACTTGGTTCGTAAGTGTGTCTCTCCATCCGTCTGTCTGTCTGTCTGTCTCTCTGTCTGTTACCACGGTTTCTGCCACCACGCGCAAGAAATCGGGCAAAAAGCAAAAGTAATGGGTTACACTGGCTTCATTTTTAAAAAGGCGATTTTCATAAAACTACTGCATTCTAAAGTTATGGCGTGAAACAAGTGAACAAGCCAGTGTGCTAATTAGCACAGGCTTACCTCGACCGGGTCCGCTTGCTCTGTGTGTATCTTGAAGGCACAAGAAGTCACAACGAAGGGCATGTATCGACTCCCGCATGCTATCGACTACTGTAGCTAGCCCGTGTTAGAGTCTCCGCGAGCTAGACAATGAGTAAACGCATACTACTAATAGCCCAGCCCATCAATTAGCGGTACCGCGCATGCGCAGTTCGCCGAGGGTTTGCACTTTAGTGCTTTCTAATCAATGGTCAATATTCTGTGTTACATAGTGTTACGTAGCTATCCTGCATTATCTGCACGAGTGTAAAACAACAAAGCCCTGTAGGATGGGGAATTTCCAACGACATAGGCAGCCAAACTCACAACCCTACACCGTAATGTCTTCAAATTCTTCAGGTTCGATGTACGTACAGAAGAGCCCGCTAAACGGCCAGTCTAGTCTTTCCACTAATGAGTTTCACTGACGTTCTATAAGGTTTCTTGACATTCTAACAGAACCTGATGAATACTATGCCCTCTCTCTTCTGAGGAATGGGGTCTGGGGACAAGATTATCGATGCATTTAACTTTGACAAACTATGTTTGCAGAAAAGTGGGATAAGGATGCCAGCAAGTAAAATAAAACTACATGGCACCAATCCCTATCCTTGTCTTGCTACATTTAATATGGCACTGTGGCTTATGATCTATGCAGTAATGTCAGATGGATCGTGCTGAGCATGTGTGCAAAGGGTAACCTCGTAAGCTAGCGGAGTAGGAGTAGGAAAGCATTCTTATTTTAGCTAAGTCAACCTGCTTGTTTGAGCCCAGAGAAAGACAACAGGAAGTAATATTTGCTGAGCCAGCAATCTCTTCTTACGTAGAGAACATGTGGAAGAGAATAACATTGCTGCAAAAAATGAAGGCAAGGATCGTAGAAGTTTGGTAGTAGGTATCGCTGGTACACTAGAAACTCGAACCCCGGTTGTCCTAGCGAAAAACAGCGAGAAATATTAGAAGCTTTGTGGCACTCGGAATGGGATACGAGTAGGCCATCTAACTACATAGTCCATTTGTTCGACAACTCTCTGTAAGATTTCAAGGGTGTCCTTTAATGTTTACGCTACAAAACTAGGCCATAAACTGCAGATGTCAACGACGGACCCCAGTGAGCGGTACTTCGTTATGTTATGCTAATTGGAATTCTTGGCAATCAACGTTGCTGTGACCATCCTCCTCTGGTTTGAGCCTAACAATTTACTGTAATAGGACTCACCCACCACGCAAAAAAGAAAAAGATGGATGTGCCCCTCATTTGTGCAACGGAAGAGAGCAATTCAATACCCATACGTTGCGTAATTACAGTACATGGGTATATCAGTCTAGTAGTAACCTAGTCCAGGGATTGGAAACACCCCTATGTACTTTCTACTTTTTTCTCTTAGTCCAAAAATTGTGTGCCAGGTCCAACCACCTACGTACATGGGTATTATCGTACTTGTGATACTAGAGAATAAGACAACAATGTACCTAGACTATGATAATAAGGATGCATCAGTATCTGTAAAACTTACCTTTCCTTATAGCTCTTAGTTCCGACGTATCTCGTACATTGGTTTTCATTTGGTCAACATGAACTTTTAGTTCAGTTGCATCTTTTGAAATTTCTTCACAGAGCCTATGTTCTTTCATCCACTTTTCTCGATACAACTGCACTTTATCCACAACAGATGTTGGGGCAATTGATTCTATAGAAAGAAAATATTATATGCACACTCAACTCGACTGTAGCAACAAAGTTGTATAAACATTACAAACCTTTTTCAATAGCTTTCATTGCAGTAATAACCTTTGCTGATACTTTCAAGTCTACAAATATACTCTCGGCATGCTCTATCAAGCTGTGTAGGTGTGCTGCACCAATTCTTGCTTCTTGGCAATGAGCAAAATGGTTATTCTGAAGTTTTGCTAATTCCTCAATGCAAAACCACTTTTTCTGGCAAATGTACATATCAACAGTCATTTGTGACGAATAAATACCGTGTTTCGGGTTTAAAACATGTTGAATGTGAAAGCAATTCTTCTGCACATTGACAATATCGGTTTGAAATTGGTCCCTTCCCAGGTCAAAGATTACTTTGTATCCATTTCGTAGCACATTTTGAAAATTAATACTTGGGACTGAGGGAAACACAACATTGCTCTGAGCTGTGATAATACACTGAGTACCCTCGAATTTATCTGCAAAGAGGCACAAGCTAGAGTGTAGCAAAACATGAAAAAGGACTGTTGAATCCCATTCTGCACAATTTCCATTTTGAAGATAATTTAAATGTGCTTTACAAAGCTGAGCTTGCCAACGGTCAGTCCTTACGAGGAAGTCACCAGAGGTTGGATTATCTTCCCATGAACAACAAAATTTCTGTTGAAATTCATTCTTAAATATAATTCTCAACACATTGGGGAAAATATCCAGCACAAGACGACATAGCCTGAAAATATTAATCCTGAGGGGAAAAACCAAAATAATAAATACAACTAACATGCAAACTTTTGGTGCTAAGAAGTATGTGTGCACTGCTAATTGATTGGGCACAACGTCCAGTTTTTCGGCTGTACACTTATCAGTGATGGTGCTAGAGAATCACGTATGCAAAACTGGTAGGTGAGCCATAATAAAAGGTTTGGAGTGTTGGCAGAAATTGCTTTCACTTACATTACTAGGGTGCTACTTTTTAAAAGCTTATTAGCCGTCAAGGCCTGGTACCTGTTATGCACTTGAGTGTCAGTGACGTCAGAGTCAAATAAGCTTTAAACAATTGAAATGGTAAGCATTTTTGGTGAGCGGGAGCAACCCAACTATATACAGATGTACAGGCATTGGTGAGCATGCACAGGCATTGGTGAGCATGCACAGGGAGTATAATAGTTTGTTCGGATATCAATTTGTCGCATAGCATGCGTGTGATGTTTTTGGGCTGCACGCTGTGCCTTCGCAGCAGTGAGAAAGGTGTGTTTGGCCGTCTCAGAAGCAAGACATTGCCTCCTGTGATCTCTGTCTTGCAACCATTCGCAATAGAGCGTGTGCTCTGGCTGGAAGTAGTTGGCGGCTCGGGATAACGGAGAGACAGACAAGCAACAGGCATAGCACACGTGAAAAAATGTTGAAAAACTGGTGTGCAAATGCACATGCGGTATGACTCTTACAATTAGGTCACAACGAATATACAGTGTTCACACAGGGAAAATTACCAATTGCGAAGACTAGGTTGGCTCGGTCCAACTCACCACTTCAAATTGTCCCAGACAATTCATGCGCTCCGTGAAGCAAGCTAAGAAACTTTACTTATGGTGTGTACAGAGGGTGCAACTACAACGAGGCAGCTGACCGCGGCACACGTTACAGAAAACTCTGAGAAGTAGACACTTGTCAACTCCAAACTCTGGAAAATGGACAACTCCTTCCCATTAATACTTGCAGACACATGCGCTATAATGTACTACATTTGAAGAGTGGAGCCTCATGATGCTTGCAGTGATTCACCGAAGGTGCACCACTTTGTACACAGCTGGATGCTTAGGTCAGGAGGCAAGTCTGCTTGCTACCATCCTTCCAGCTACTGTTGGCTAGTATCCCGCAACAGATGTTACATTGTGGCAGCCCAACTAATCCACAATGACTAGTCTGAAAGACAAAAGATGCATAGCACGCCTCATCAACATGGCAACCCTCAGCGGAAGTAATGTTTCACACGAGAGGAAATTCTTTTAAAAAGTTACTGCAGCAATGATAGTGAGGGTATTCAGGCCATAAAGGTTGTGAGAGGACTGTTAATGGGAGCGAGTTCATGTGTTTTCTACAAGGCACCTTATGCCTGTGTCGCTGCCTCTCAATGGAGTCAATCCTAACAGTGTGCTTTCCAGGAGCGACCTCAATGATCACTCAAGACAAGTGTATTAGTTCACTTCCTTCCTCCCTACTCCCCTGACCTAAACCCTATTGAAGAGTCAAAACTAAACGTTTATGAGTCATGACGATGATAAATCTCTGTGCTGATAACTGTACGGGCTGGATAACAGACAGTAAAGTGTAAAAATTGATAGTTAGAGTTTATGCTTTTAGGACTCAGACAAAGGTTTGTCACCAAAAAGCTGCTGCTGCAAATACTTAAGTTGCTGTAATTCTGGAGACATCCCAATCTTGCTAGAGAGTGATGTATTCGAGCATGGCTGTTGAACAGGAGCACTAAAATGCTTTCGTAATTACAATGGCAGCATTTGCGAGAGTATTGCTTAGTTATTCAATTTTAGGCTTCTTTGCTTGAGGACCAAACAAAAGGAGAGGCGGTGGACTTTCATAATCATTGTGTGTTCCGCAGTAGATTGTCCTAGCCAATAATCTTAGCTGAGGAACAAGCTTTATCAGTTAAGATCTTGTAATATTCATCAATGTCTTCCTCCTCTAACTTTAGTGATGAACCAACACTCTCTTTTCTCTTATGCTTATATACCGACCAAGAACTCGAACAAATACTGTCGCACCACAGAGATTCGAATCTCCTCTGTTTTTGCTAAAGGACAAGTCACCATTTGCATGTCAAAATTTATTGAGTTTGGAGATGACATTCCCGAGTTATTATTGACATAAAAATGGTCCAGGAAATGCAGGCTTGTCACACACGAAGATGTATGCATAGAGGATATTCCTCTTGTTGCTCCATCAGACAGGTTTAGCATCCAGACTAGTATAATTGTAGCCTTTCAGCCCCGAATTGTGAACCCAATAAATCGCAGATCTTATCAGCTAGTCTAGGTATATACATCTACATCCTACATCTCCCTGTTCCAGGTTTACTCGTCTAAACCTGCATTGCCAGGGACTATATACCGGCATCCCGCATGCACCCAGCAAAAAATATTAGTTCTGCTTATGTTATTGAAACTGCTGCATCTCAGGGTAAACACAAAGAGCACAAAAGTGCAAACACTTGGCGCACCATGCATGCACGGTACTCTGTCTAGGCTATGAGTAAGCATTTACTTGTGGTCTAACTCGTGGAAGGTCTGAAATGGGCTTCACTGAGTAGATAGTATGAGGGAGTCAATATACACGCCCTTCGTTTTGATTTATCGTGCCTCCAAGGTATATACACAGAGCAAGCAGATCATGTAGATGTAAGCCAGTGCGATTATGCACATTGCCTTTTTGCTTGTTTTCACGGCATATCTCTCAAAAGCAAAAGCATTTGTTTTAGGAAAATCGTCATTTTACTTTTCAGGCTCGCGTAGTTTTGAAGTGGTTCGTATCACTTAAAGGCCACCTCGTAGCCTGTAATGTCGGAATAGCTGCAGACAAACGATAAACTGACACACACATACAGATCAAGTACTGCAACCCTCGCTGCATACGTGTGACGAGGGCCACCCTAAAAATCTTGGTTTACAGGGGAGGCATGTAATACAACTTGAATGAAAAGCACTAAAGTGCAAACGCTCGGCGAACTGCGCATGCATGGTACCACTAACTGATGGTCTCCAGCTATATAGCAGCTCGCGGAGAGTCTGACACGGGCTAGCTACAGTTGTAGATAGCATGCGGGGGTCGATACGTTGTGACTCCTTCGCCTTCAAGATACACAGAGTGAGTGGACGCGGTCGAGGTAAGCCTGTGCTAATTTGCATATTGGCTTGTTCACGCCATAACTTTTGAACGCAGTAGCTATATGAAAATCACCATTTTAAAATGAAGCCAGTGTATGAACCCATTGGTATCGCTGTTTTGTTGTCCCGTTGTGCGTAGTCGCAGAAAATGTGGTAACAGACAGGCAGACAGACAGACAGACACACTTACAAACCAAGTACCGTAACCCTCGCTGCGCATTCACGCCGAGGGGTTTTGGGTTGCTCTGAGGTATTGATATTATAGTTCTAATTGCTTGCAAGTGAGAAATGGCAACCCCAATAAACAAGTACGAATACTATACATAAGGTTACTGTATGATTCAGGGCCCTCCCTTCAGTCCACCAAAAACTGTATTCATTAGCATGGTTATTGTAGGGGGTGTTTCTTACCAAATATGCTAGGGATCAGAAATCAAGATGCCCACTGTCCCAATATACAGGAGTGTTTAGGCACAGGAGTAGCTATAGTAACTAAAAAGGAGTAGCACAAACATTCCCTTTTGTCACTTTCACTCTTGGTCAACACACCACAAAGCAAATCCCATGAGGCAAAGCCTGTGTTTTTATAGGCTTGAATGCATGAGGGCGGAACACGGGGAAACACTACCCTAGGTAGTACCCTAACATTCTGGTATGCAAGCACTCCTACTAACATTCAATATCGACTTCTTTGGGTATGCACCTGTGTGTGCAAGTCAGACGAGTTTACCCAGTTTTTCATACATGACATAAGCCAAGATGACTTTTTAATTAAGTAGCATCCACCACCGGGCACACGTAACCAAAGTGACAATCCCTGGCGTAAAAGACAATATAATATTTCAAAACCCACCTTCAATACAAGACATAAGTTATACCCCAACGCGTTACATGCCAACATCAGAGAAGTTGATAGTCAGTGCATAGCTAGCAAGCACTTTACTATTTAGCTACCTTTCGTCATCCGTAGCACCTGTAGCCCCAGAAGAGGCTGGATTGGCAGCGCCTTCACCACCCAAACATCTCGTGTTAAGCTCACTGCGGGAGCTCATACCGACTTGCAAACGGCACAGTATTAGTAATACTAACCCGCGCGCCTTGCTGCGCTGCAGCCTTGCCGTATAATAGTGCGTCGTGTTAATTAATATCTAAATGCGCATGCGCTTGCATTGCGCGGACTCCATTTAATTGCATTGTTGCAATCTATGGGTCGCATTGTTTAGTTCTTACGTACTGTCACATTCCCTTTAATGGCGCAATTCTGGATCCCGGATTACCACTTTCATTATTATCCCGCGTTCAGGTCCTAACTCCCTGGACCATGTGGAGGAGTGGGATCTGTGTCTGGGAACGAGACTAGCTAGACCGCAGTCCAATAGCTATAAAAGACTAGCTACCTGCATGAACATGATGAAGTGCACTAAATTTCGGGTGAAGGAGTAATTTTTTCTGACATTGAAAGAAAGCCTAGATAAGAACGAAAGTTGCTGTTTGCCGGGTTGTTTCAAGAAAGTTGAGATAAAGACTTCTTTCTCTGGACATGGGCACGAACACACACATAATAATGGACCTGGAGTAAATAACGCTGCTATCTAAAGCATACCAGAGGAACTGCGGAAAAATATAGGAATATTATTTTGGATTGCATGTATGTTTTAGGTATCCATGTAGCAATCTGAAGAACCCTGTAGCTACACTATGTTGTGTAGTTATCAAGAAAATTTCTTATCAGAAACTGTAGGAGAATATTTAACGTGGACAATGCCTTAATTGAGCACCACTACAAATTATCATAATGATATTTAGAAACACTCTTTTGTTTAAGTTGGTAAGTAATTTAAACAATACCTAACCTTAAACTTTAACAAAATGTCCAATAGCATGACTGAAGATACCTCACTTCAGAGGTGTCAATCTGAGTAATAATCATAATTCCATGCTGCATCGTATTTATACTTGTAACAATAAAGGGGAAGGACTTTGTGACTGCACAGCCAAGAATGTTGCCCTCTCCTACCACCCTCACAGTACAAGTGTAGTCTCTCATAGTCACGTGTATGTCAGACCAAACCCAGCCTCCACCACTGTCTACACTCTCTCACTGAATCTGATCCTTGGTCCTCCCAACACCAGTGAGACTGAGGCAAACCTGTCCACCTCAGGACTCAGGACTGCCACACAAGTGAGGCTCACTGATGATCCATAGGTCGAGAAGACTGGCAGCGATGGTTACATTTGGCTGGGGCACTGAAATATGTAAAACTGTAACGTTGCATTTTTATAGGATGATATTAAAGAACAGGGGTTTCAGAAGTAATTATCTCACTATTAAATCGATCATACTGTCTGGCCCAAATACACCCCAAAATGCCAGGTCCTGAATGTATAATTCAGCAGGTGATCTGTTTTTCCACTAACCAACAACTGTTCCCTGGTGGTTCCAAACAGCTCCACATTTGGAAATACCACAAGATATGGTATTAGAGTCACTGGGCAACCAGCTTTAGCTACACCAGGAGTCAGTACCTTCAGTTCCACAGGAGGTGGGTCTTTGACTGAAGTTCACGTTCACACACAAAATGTTAGCATCATCACCAATTGCCTTTGATGGTCAGCAAAGTTCGGTTGTATATACTACAGTAACTTGAGTCAGAGAATCCATATGTATAAGGCCTCAATTACACATCTATAGCTACTCCCCTTCATTGTTTCTCATCAATGGACTGAATCTCACATGCTTTAAATAATATGCGTCATTTTAAAAAAATTCTGTAGAGCATGCCAATAACTTTCTTTGCCTTTAAAGTGGTATGAAGAGACCAGCTGTTAATTAATATCTAATTGCTCGTGGCCATAACACCCAGGTGCCTATTGCTTTTTACCAGCTCAAGTGGCTGACTATTAGGTTCTTTTGCTCTTCTTTTCTTAGATATTACGATGCGTTTATTATTATTATTATTATTATCTCTGCTTTACAGTACCTGAATAGATAAGGACGGGGGGAAAAACGGGATGGGTGATTATGACATGTACCGAAGGAGCACCACACAAATCTGGTGTCCTAGAACTGAGAGGAGGATAATGTGTGCACTATAGACATACTAACACATTTGGACATGGACATTGAAAGTGATAAGAGCAGGATTTGAACTGTCAAAGTGGGATTGGAATTTCATCCAGAATAGTCTATGGAGATGGGCCTTTATTGTAGATTGATGTTTATTGGGGGAAGAGAGTTCCAGAGCCATGGAAGAAGAGATGAGCTTCCGTGGTTGATTTTGACAGGGAACGTTTCAGTTTGAGGTGAGATGAGGACCGAGTGTTACGATCAGAAAATTGCGCAAAAGAGTGGATGGAAAATTATTGGGTGGTGTCGGGGTCTTTGAGGCAACGAATGAAAAACAGGATGTCAAAAAGTTCTAATTGCATCATCAAAGGTAGAACGTTGAGTGACAAGAGTCGATCTCTATAGTTAGAGTTGAAGTCATTTAGGATGTACTTGGTAGCTCGACGTTGAATATGTTCAAGTGCAGAAATATCCTTTAAAAGGTTGGGTCTCCAAATCTGCGAAGCATAAGTTAGCTGAGAGCGGACGAGAGAGAGATAGAGTTTCTTCTTGGATGAGAGAGGTAACCTGGATGAGAAGGAACGCTTAATGAGACCTAGACTTTTGTAGGCTCGGGAGGATATAAAGTTAAGGTGGTGGCACCATTTAAGATCACAGGACATTAGGATGCCGAGGTCACGATGGCAGTAAACGACTTGGATTGGCATGTTGTTTAAGGAGTAATCAAAGAGGATGCGAGGTGAACTGAGGCAGAATCGGAGTAGCACACATTTCCTTTCGTTGAACTGGAGGTTCCACTTGTGGCTCCAATTAGATAAACGGGAGGAGATTTTCTTCAGGCATTTTGTGTCATCCGCAAAGAGAAAAACATTTGAAGATTTAGTGGAGGAAGGGAGATCATTAACAAAAATCAAGAAGAGAAGAGGGCTGAGAATACTGCCTTGAGGCACACCAGAAATTACTGGAAGAGGGTCAGAGATACAGTGATTGAGTTTCACATGTTGGGATCAATGTGAAAGGTAATCCTTGAACCACCTCCACAGATTACCAGTTTTTCCGAAAGTCCTGCAGTTCATTGTGAGAAACGCTGTCAAAAGCTTTTTTGAAGTCGAGGTATATAACATCAGCTTGACAGTTTGAGTTTAAAGAATCCTGGATGGAATAGAGGAAAAGTAGTAGTTGAGTTGTGGAGTGATTAGGGCGGAACCCAAACTGCGATGAACAAATTGAGGGAAGAGAAGTTTTGAAACAGAACATAGAAGGGAGATTGGACGGCAGATGATTTGTCACCGGACTTGAAGACCGGAATGATCACGTGTGTACGCCATTCTGCAGGAATGTTGGAGTGGGAAAAGCTAAGTAGAAAGAGTTTTGTAGAGAGCAAGTGCACAGTGATAAGAACATTAGGACCGATACTGTCGATTCCAATGGCTTTAGATGTATCCAGTGAACACAAGGCTTAAAACACATCGGATTCAGAGATTCCAATATCAGATAGGGTAGGGGTGGGTGATGCTGGCTCGTGCGGAGGAAGAATTTGGTAGGCACTCAGCGTAAAAACAGAGTGGAAACACTTGTTGAACAGGAGGACCTTCTCACTGTCAGTGGAGGCAGTGGAAGAGTCAAAGGAAACAATCGGAGGCACTGGATGAGCTTAAGTGAGACTTTTGATGTACTTGAAGATCTTGTTGGGATGGTCCATGGCTAAATCTTGTTCATAATGCAATTTTGCTGTGGAAGTTTGACCTTTTAGTTGGGATAGAAGAGATTGAAGTTTAGAAAGATTGTGAGGAGTTGGACGCAAATGACATTTTCTCCTATGAGTGCGCAGGCATTTGATTGTGTGACGAATCGCAGGATTAAACCATTTTGGAATGGGTGACGATTTGACTCGTACTTTTGAGATGAACAAGTCCATAGCATGAAGAATGGTGCACTTTATGAAAGACCAAACTAATTCTACGCAATTGGATAGGAAGCAGGAGCTGAAATCAGTTTCAAGTAGAGAGTCGCATAGTCCTTCGTAGTCGGCGTTGGCATAATCGTACACGACCAAGGCTTCATGGTTCTTGGTTGAGGAGCAGGTGAGAGGTATGTTGAAGGAGATAAGGTAATGATCAGAAGGCAGGGACGAGGAACACTTAGACACGGAAAGGTTGTCGACAAGTTGCTCATCATTAGTCAGGCGAATATCTAGTGTGTTGCCTTTGATGTGGGTAGGACAAGTGATAAGCTGAGACAGGTTCTTTTAAAACAAAGTCGCAGATGAGGTTTGAGACTAACGAAGTGCCAGAGAGGGAGGCCCAGCATATGTCCGGTTGGTTGAAATCCCCAATGATAATGAGAGATGTTTCATTAGTAGATAAAAAATTCAGGAAAGCAATCAACCGCTCGATGTATAGGACGTCAGGATTTGGGGGTATGTAAACAGCACAAACGGAGATAGTATTGCGTGGAAGACAGAGTCGTACGGTGACAACTTCTAGGTCCGGAGGGGAGGGAAAGAGGACACTGGGAAGATGATCGTTCACTGCTATGAGGACACCGCCTCCACGAGTGTAACCTTTAGGAAGAATCTCTTTATCGTAGATGAAATGAGTCAGCCAAGTTTCTGTAATGCAAATCACATCAAAGGTGGATGAGTACACTGAAGATTGGAATTTAGAGAGTTTGTTGACGAGACTGCGTGAATTTTGGTAACACAGGGAGATGCCTAGTCATTGATCAGAGACTGGGGCGGAAGATGACTGAGGAGCATCAGAATCAGGGTGAGACGTGGGTGCTGAGGAATGGTTTACACTTTGTCACATTAAAAAGTGGTTGCTGCAGCACAGCTTCATCTACTCGAAGTATGGGTATTACTCCCTGGGTCATTGTACGCATGTACACGCAAAATATGGGCAGAGTAATGGGATTCCTAATTCCTAGTTTATGACAGCACTGTCTTCACATATTTCTGTGTGTCAACAAGGGCTTATTGTGAACACAGTTTCAGTTTGTTTGTGACCACTTTCTTCGCACAT